AAGCTTCATTTTTACTGAGAACATTTCAGAAGAACAGATTGTTACTGTTGTTATGAAATCGTGCTTTTGTGTCCTATGAATGTCGGTGCTACATTTAAGAACACGGCGTGCATTCGTGTTTTATGTGCATCAGTTTGCATCAGCAGGAAGTTAAATCTCAGACTTGGAGAACAGGACTGAGGATTGAAACAAGCTCCTGGATCCTGCAGATCTGGATCTGTGTCGTGAGTCTGACAGAGCGTCAAATATGATGAGTTTGAGCTGAGGAGCCGTGCTGGCGGCTTGTTTTAATCGCACTAAACTGAAATGTAGAAAAACACTCATTTCTCTCTGCTGCTCATTATAAACGGACGGGTCATTAAACGTGAACTTCTCCGGGATGCACTCGTACTGGAGCTATTTTTGTGTTATTATGCAGCAACTTGAGATTTCAGGGCCCACCTGTGATTAAATGAAGCGCCCACTCATCACCCACTCTGGATAAATGAAGATCCGTTTGCCACCCCGAGCAGCCCACAGCTCCCACTGCACAAACAGCAAGAAAGTGGAAAGTTACTGCTTCAATTATTTAAAGATGGCCGCCTCCCCTTTGCTAAGAGTCCAAAGTAGAGTTTATGAGAGGGATTTATTATGTCTAATATATTTCCAGTTGAGTTTGGCAGGACTCTGTATGTATTTGCTCTTTATGAGCACTTAGGAGGGTCAAATATTTGGAATCTGAACAGCAAAGTGTTTCAAATACTCCATTTATACATTTATTCACACGTGTTCTGGGCTTCATCACTGCCTGAAGTAAACACCAGGAAAACATGCAAAAATAACCCTGAGCCTACCCAGCACATAGCCTGGACCAATTCATACTTTTCAGTGATAATTTAACACGTATGATACATACAAAAACAAATTACACCAAACTAAAGAAAATCCTGAACGATGTTTTGGTGTCTGACAGCGGCGGGACATCTGCGTCTCACAGGTGGTAGCTGTCCCGGCGCCTCCACGGGACACAAACGTGCTGCGAAGAGAAAAACATATTTACAGGTTCTGGGCTCCACGGGGCTCCTGCTGTAACTCCAGCAAAAAGCACATTTCTCACGTTCGGCGCAGCGCCGGCCTCATTTTCCGTACATTAAACGTATACAGCAGCGCTGCACATGTTCTCCTAAAACTCGGCACAAACGCTTCTGCGAAGCCCGAGGAGCAGCCAGGAGATCAAAAGCATCCCGGCCGTGTCGTCCTCTGTCCAACGCGTTCAATAACAGCATGTTTCAGATGCATTTGTTAGAGGGAAGCATCCTGAGTCTCATTAAAAGAGGGAAAATTCAAAGCTTGTAAACAGCGAAGGGAAAACTATAAAACCTAAAATGATTCATATTATGAGCCTGAAACGCCAACAATTTACACTTTAAAAAGACGGAACAAAAACAGGAAAATCCACACATCATCACGCTGGTCGGTTTGATTTATTCTGGGTTTATTACCAATGTGAGTTTACATCAACATGCATATTGAGACTCGTTGCTCTGGAGGAAGAATAAAACTCAGAGGCCTCGGAGGGCGGCGATGATTGGTTTATCTGCAGCAGGTCTGACTGAAAGTCTTGAGCGTAAACCAGAAACGCAGCACGCCGTCCTCTTTGTAAAACACGCTGCTGTTTAAAGCCAAGAACCAGCCAGCACATAGACTCGTGTACAGCGCTGTGCACAGGTCTCACGCCTCTCCTCTAATCGTTTACTCTGCAGGAAAATGAGAACCAAGTGCAGCGATTTATTGAAACATGGTCTCTGTGAGGCAGAAACAGGTGACAGTACTTGAGTGGACACCTTTATTCTCCAGCACAGGCTGTAACATCTCTCCAGGCTTCTTGAAGGACGCTCAAAGCTGCAGGAGGCTCCGCTGTGCACTTTCACTGCGTTGGGATCATCTTCAGGCTTCGCAGATCAAATTCAGTCTGATGGTACTTTGTTAAAACTGATGAATCAAACGTCACTGACTGAAATCCAGACCCAGCCTCCACTGTGG